GGATAAGCACCTGGCCATCAACGTGTGAGGCTCCAGACTGCCCCAATGCCAAGGTGCTCCAGCTCCTCAGCAGGAGCCAAAGGTGAATCTGCCAACGGAGCTTGTGTTTGCTGCTACCAGTGTGTCTTGTTTCCATAAACTGGCTGAGCCTGTTGCTGTTTCTCTGGGTAACCTCAAGTCCAACCGCAGTGTGCTGTGTGGGAATGTTCCTCAGGCAGGACTGACCTCACTGCTGAGGGTGAGTGAGGTACAACCAGGGTGGCTCTGCTCAGCTGCTGCAGGATCTCACTCTGAAGGGGATGTTTTGGGCACAGTTTTGGCTGTCATAGCATGATCCTGCTCTGGCCAAACTGACTCCGAAGGCAGTGCTCTGAATCAAGAGGTTCATTAATAATTGTACAGGATTTTTATCCTTTCTCACTCCTGCACAGATCAGCCAGTTGGAGCGAGTCCAGAGGAGGCCATGGAGATGATTAGAGGGCTGGAGCACGTCTCCAGTGAGGAAAGGCTGAGAGAATTGGGATGGTTTAGCCTGGAGAAGAGAAGACTCTGGGGAGACCTTACTGCAGTTTTTCGTTACCTACAGGGGCTCCAGGAGAGCTGGGGAGGGACTTGGGACAAAGGCCTGGAGTGACTGGATGGGGGGAATGGCTTCACACAGACAGAGAGCAGGATTAGATGGGGTATTGGGAAGAAATTTTTCACTGTGAGGGTGGTGAGGCCCTGGCACAGGTTGCTTAGAGAAGCTGTGGCTGCCCCATCCATGGAGGTGTCCAAGGCCAGGTTGGACGGGGCTTGAAGCAACCTGGGCTAGTGGAAGATGTCCCTGCCCATGGCAGGGGGTGGGACTGGGTGGTTTTGAAGGTCCCTTCCTTCCGAAATCCTTCTGTGGTTTGGCATCCCAGAAGTGCCATCACGTAACTTCCAGTCAAAACAGGGTCCAGCACTGAAAACCCCTTAATGGATGTCTGAGTTCTCAAGTTAAGGGAAAAAAGCAGCACAGTAAGGACAAAGATGGGTTTGTAGGGGGGAGCTGTGTGACTCGTGGGCATGCAGTGGTGACTGGGGGATGTCACTGGGCAGGGTTTGGCACATCAGGGGCTCCCCACGTTCTGCTGGTTCCTTCCCTTGGGGTGATACTGGCCACACTCAGTATCTGTCTGGCAGCAGCAAGGGATATTTAAGGGGTTTTATTTGGTTCTGCAGGGGCCTGTGAAGCACCAGAGTTGCATGGCTCCCTCTGCATACAAGGATCCTTTTACCTCTTTGAGGATAATTATTTGGTGGACTTCAGAGGCCCAGAGGAGTTTTGGATCCTCCATGGTTGGAGGTTTGACCAGAAAAAGGCTTGAGCAACCTGCTCTGGCCTCATCCTGGCCCTGCCTTGGGCAGGAGGTTGGACTGGAGATCTCCCAAGGTTCCTTCCAACCCAAATTATTTCGTGGATCTGTGATAAAGGTCTGTGATATATAAAGGATTGGAAGGATATTACATCACTGTACCTTTTGACTGAGAAACGCATGGATCTGTATTGCCTTTTTTTTTTTTTAAAGATTGAAGTAACTGAATTTCATCCTTGAATGACTTCTGTGTTTGCCTGCGTTCAACACTCAAAGGGCTGCTGAGGGAGGATGTTGAAAACCTGCTGCAGAGCCTGGATTTTCTGCCTTTTTTTTTTTTTTGCTATGTTGTAATTTTGTGGAGCATTTCTTATCTTTTGGCTTACGGTGCTTTACAGACTCTTTATACCTGTCACTAATTAATGACTAATTACTGTATTTCCAGTTGGTTACACTGTGGTTGCTCTGCTCTGGGTATTGTAAGGGTTTATGCCCCTAAATCTTACTTGCAGGACAGTTTTGTAGCTGTTTTCCATCTTATCCCCCCTGTGAACACCCCCATGCTCCAGGAGTGAATATCCTTGTAATACATCCTTGATTTAAAAGACTTTTCCCACCAGTTACCCAACTACTGTTATATTGGTATGCTCTAACCTTCAGCTCTTTTGAATTAGTGATAACTTCCATCCCACTCTACGCTGCAGGGTTCCAGTGTGCTGCAATCCTTCTGTGCTGCTCCAGGATTCCTGTGTGTTGGAATCCTGATCCACGTGGGCTTTGGGCTTCTGGGCTGCCAGGAAACAGGGAAAGATTGGGCTTGCCTTATTTTCTTCGAACTTCTATTTTTGATCTTCTCTCAGTCCAGTTTGGACTCTGAAGGGTCTGAGTCAGGCAGATTTGATGATGTTTCATTTTATATATCAGAAAACATTGAAGTTATGGGAGTTTCACCTTACTGGAGACATTCAGTGTGGTGCTAAATCCAGAACTTGTGCTTTGCCACCTCTGGGAAATGGGCTGAACTTTGATTAACAAAAGGGATAATTGCCAGTCTCCAGAGACACAGATTCAAGGCTTTACTCTCAGTTCTAGTGACAATTTTTAAATTAATTTGTTCTAATTTTCCAGTGTCACAAGTGAATCTCCTGCGCAGCCCTTGCTTTGGGAATTGGGCCATTGGGCTGACAAGCTGAAGTCCCCAGTTCACAGAATACTGAGCTGGAAATGACATGGAAATTCGTGTCAGAGACAGCATTTGCAGCTCTTGGTCACATCCTCTTGCCATCTTTGGCAAATATAAAATCTGAATTCGAGCATGAGAACACTGTAATTCTCACATTTATTTTTTGTGCCCACCACTGGTGGCAACCGGCTTGTTTTATTTTTTGTCACATGTAAATATTTTATTCAAGTCCAGTGTAACTGACTCTGGCAAGTGGGATGTGGCCTCAGTTCCTGCATGGAGGGCTGTGCCCAGCTCTGGTGACAGTCTGGCAGCACTGGGGGGTTTGGGAGAGTTTTGGGTTTTTTTTCTAATTATTATTAAAAAAAAAAGAAAGAGCTAGGTGAGAGAAAATGCTGTGTGTAAACGCTTCCCAGATATATTGCTGTGCCACGTACGGCACGGGTTTATTCCAGTTTATTCTAAATGTTATTTGAAAGTGTGCACATCTGTTCTGAGGCTGCCTGAGCCCATAGGCAGAGGCACTGCAGCCCGGGCTGTGCATGTTCTGTCCCAGTGGTTATTTTCCAACGTGCAGACTCTGGCAGGTCAGCGTGATGTCTTGCCTGGAATTTCCTTGCATTCTAAAATTAGGAGAAGGCTCTAGGAAACAATAGCAAATCAAGTCTCTAAACTCCTGCTCCCCCTGAACCTTTGTTGTCATTTAGACTTTCACCCACTTCCTTCTCACCAAGCTGGTTTGCATTAGATAAACTAAGTTAAACTAAGTTAAACAGAGCCCACGATGGTCAGTGGTGAGAGGGCTTATTTTTCATTTATTTACTCATTATACAATTGTTGTGCTACTTTGGGACACCAGGAGTGTGAGTTTCCTGTCGGTGCTGTTCGTCCCAGAGCGCTTTGTGTGTCAGGAGTGCTGTGGAAGCGGGACAGCTGCAGGGCACTGGTTTGGTGCCCTCAGACACACTCGTGCCCAGCAGCGTGTCCCGACGGGGATCTGGAAACTGCAGAGGTTTCGATCTGCAGCAGAAACTTCTCCAGGTACACCACCAGGCCCCGTGGTTGTCCCTGCTGAAGGGGTGAGCAGCTCCATCGTGCTCTGCACCTTGGGGGGTTATGTTTGCTCCACCTCTTCATCCTCACCCCTCCCTTGTCTGCTCTGTGCTCTTGTTCTCTGCAATGTTGTGGGGGTCCCACCACCCCACACCTCATCGTACCTCCCGGCTGTTCCTGGGGAGGTCTGTCCCAGCAGCTTTTGTGCAGGTGGATACCTGGAAATGTATCACACTTGAGGAGGGAGATTCAGAGCTCGTTCTGGTTTGATCCCTCTCAGCCTGTGCTGCATGAGCAGCCCTGACTCTATCTGTGTTTCTTGACCTGTGAGTGATCTTAGGGTTCCCTGTGCTGCTGTGACCCCCTCCCTGCCTCTGCCGAGGACAGACACAGGGTGATGTGGATTAGAAGTGGCTTCTGTGTATCACTGCACAGACCCGAGTTTGTTCCAGGTCACTTCTTAAACGATCTCATTTTCTGCAAGTGGCCCCAGGTTGTTTGTTTATTATTCCCAGCACTCCAAAACAATCCAGGAAATGCAGCAAACACCCAGCCCTGGTTCCCATCCTGTCCAGGATCCGACCTCCGGCAGTGGTTAGAAGCAGCTGCAGGATTTGCTCAGTTGATAATTACAGTCCATTGTGTTTAGAAAACTCACCGGGCCTGGTGGTGTCTTGGAGGAGTGTGATTGATGGATCGTGGAATTTGCCGTCTGCAGCAGATGGAGTTATGGGAGCCAGGGTGGGGGTGAAGAGGTTAGGTGTTGTGAGGCCCCTTCCAGTCACCATTCCTATGGCTGTTGTGTTTGTAGAAAGGAATTTTCTTTCCTTCTCTAGTTTTGTGTTACTTGGGCTGGACAGCTCACCTTGGCCTTTTCCATCCGGCACAAGGGGCACAAACACCCTCCCTGATTGTGAGGGGGCCTGCCACTGATGTCCTGATAAAACATCCTGAGCAGCAGATGTGTGTGATAGCAGGGGCAGCGCTTTGGACTGGAAATCCCCCTGTGTTTCTCCCTGGCTGGCTTGCCTGGACCAGACTCAAACTCGAGTGTCTGTCGCGAGCTGCTTTAGAGTGACTTCCCCGTGGTGCTGGCTTTGAGAGCCTGAGGCAAACTCTTATTGTGGGAAACAAGGAATGTCCAGTTTGTATCCTACACGGGAGGGAGGAGAAGAGTGGGATAACAAATACTAAATGAATGATTGAGCTAAACTCATTTATGCCTCTATTCTTTCACCATCATCCCTTGTAGCCTTTCCTGGGGGCTCTCATTCATGCAGTGACTGCCCTGGGAGGGCCTGGCCAGGACAGGGGTTATGGGAGCAGCCAAGTGTCTCGGGGATGGCCCTCAGGCTTGTCCTGAGGTGGGGAGATGGGTTTCCCCCAGAACTGCTGCTGACCCAGTTGTGTCCTCTCTGTCACAGCCTTTCTTCAGGCTCCTGAACCTGCGCAAGCTGGGCCTGAGCGACAATGAGATCCAGAGGCTTCCCCCCGAGGTGGCCAACTTCATGCAGCTGGTGGAGCTGGACATCTCCCGCAACGGTAAGGCTGGAGCTGGGCGGGAGTGGTGCCCAAGCCCTGCAGTGCTCCCGGTGCCCTCTGGTTGGGAGAGGCAGTGCCCTTTCCACACCCTGTGGAGCAGTCCCTCGGGGATCCTCAGCTGTGACAATGAGGTTGTCTTACTGTGGCTCAGGCTGCCATCTGTACCTGCTGTCCCATTTTCCACATGCTAGGCTTTTCTCAAGCCTCTTTTGTTCTTTCACCTATTTTTTCCAGACATTCCAGAAATTCCTGAAAGCATCAAATTCTGCAAATCCCTGGAAATCGCAGACTTCAGTGGGAATCCTCTCTCCAGGTAAGAAGGCATATGTGACCAATTAGTCCAGCTGAGAAGAAGAGTTGAAGTTGCTTATTCTCCCTGGCTTTCTCTGGTCTTCATCTTGTTATTGTCTTCCTGTGAAGCCAAGGCCTGGGATCGCCCTGCCTGTGCCAAACCTGCAGGTGTCTGCTCTCCTGGCAGGCGAAACACTCGGCTCAGGGAGGAGCTGCTGTGTGCTCTTTCCTCTGCAGGGCCTGTGCCTTGGATTGATGAGCCCTTAGTTGTACTGGTGTCAGTGATGAGGACTTTGCTCCTGGAATGAGTTTGTTGCTCCCTCCCCATCCCTTCACTGTGGTCACAAACCAGAATGGACATGGGCTGACGCTGCAGAGGAGGAAAGGCCTGTGTGGTGCTCTGCCCTCTCGGAGCCCCCCTTGTGCCCCCTCTGCACTGCGGAGAAGGAAAGGCCTGCATGCTGTCCTTTGCTTCCTCTCAGCCCCCTTTTGCCACTTCTCAGTCCCTTTTCCCTTCCTCTCTTATTCAGAACTGATGACAACTGTCTTTTGAACCCCATGTTAGGTTGTTTCCCTGATATCTCAGTGCCCCGAGCTGTGCCCGAGTGGGAATCTCTGCCTTGTCTCTCAGTCCTCTGTCTCTACAGTTCTTAATCCATAATGTTTGGGAATTCAGTGTGGCTCCCCTGCCTTGATGAGCCGTGTTTTTGGGCACTGGTGTTTTGCTGCACTGTCTGCTGGGGTCCCTGCAGGGGCCACTCAGGCCCCAGGTGCTCCCTGCACTTTGTGCTCAAGGCAGGTGCTGCCCAGGTCTCCCTTTAGGCAGATTTAACTTTGCTTCCCTCCTGTGGTCCTGGGACAATCCAGCACTTCTTCACTTGGTGTTATTTGTCAGAGCCTTTTCCTGGCCCAGGTTGAGATGAGTGTGGGGAGATGGGGGCTCCAGGGGCTGCCTGCAAACAGCAAAGAAATTTCTTCCTTCAGGATTTTTCCCTGTTCTGTCACACCTTGGAGCTGTTGTGATGGTGCTTGGTCCCAGGGAATGCTGCGGTGAAATATCCTTTGCTGGGCACTTGTAGTGCTTGGGAGCCCTCTCTGCTTCCAAGTCCAAATGATCCCATGGCATGATTTAGTGTGGGATTCATGCTCGAGTACTGCAGAGCTGAGTTTGCACACCTGGACAGGTAGTGTCTTGTGCAAGGGGCTTTTGTGGTCTTGTCCTGCATCAGTAGCCAGACTCAGCGTTGGTTCCTGCCTGTTTCCTTTCCATGTCTTGATACTACTTGGGAGAAGACTGGCTTAGGGGGAATTTAGGTGTTTTGGGGCATTCAGTGCTTTGTACACAGGATTAATGGAATTTTGTTCGTGCTCTCACAGGCTTCCTGAGGGCTTCACCCAGCTCCGGAGCCTGGGCCACTTGGCCTTGAATGATGTGTCCCTGCAGAGCCTCCCCACTGACATTGGGAAGTGAGTATGGCCCTGTCCTGGCAGCGGGGAGAGGGCTGGGGTGGGGACAACACACTTGTGGGGTGGGGACTGGCAGGACCTGGAGGGATGAGCCAGAGGCAGCTTTGCACCAGTGCTGGCAGTGCTGTGTGGGCACCCCTGAGCCTTGGTTTGTTAAAAACCTTTCTACAAAGGTTCCTGTCCTGGCCCCAGCAGCTTCTCCTCCTGTGGTCCATGGCGCAGTAAGGAGTGATTCAGGCTTCTCAAATCCTGCCTTTCCCTATGTTCCTAGTGCCCATTTGCCCCTTTCCAAGCAAATGATGACTTCGGAATTATTTATGCTGCTGGAAAATGGTTCCGTGGGACTTTGCCCATGGGGTACAGTGCCCTTCCCATGGGATTTTGCTTTCTACACTTGAGGGATTTTATCTTTTTGGGCAGGCAGTCCTGTTGTGATGGCGTGTTCCTTGTCCTGAGTGTGGGCTCAGTGTTGTTCGCCATGACTGCACCAAGTGCTCGCCTCCATCAAAGCCATTTCCACCCCCGTTGTTTTTGTTCCCCCATCTCCATCCACGTGTGCGCACTCATGCCTTGTGCAGGACACAAGGGGTCATCCCAGGGGAAGGGAGATGAGCAGCTCCTTGTATCCCTGAAGCCCTGTTCAGTGAACCTGGCTTTCTCGCTCCCTTTTCTCTTGCAGTTTGGCAAACCTGGTGACTTTGGAGCTACGTGAGAACCTGCTAAAGACTCTCCCCACGTGAGTGTGTGTCTGGGGGCTGTAGGAGGCTCCTGCCTCATCATTCTTGCTGCTTCCTTAGGGACTGATTCCTCAGGGACTAGTGCAGGCTCTGGCACTTGGCTCGGGAGGGCACAGGCTGGGCATCCGGCTGCGTCTGGCTGAATTTCAGTAAATTGGGGTGAGGAGGGAGAGGATGGTGCAGGGCTAAAGAACAGGGAAGGATGGTCAGAGCCTCTATGCAATCTCTGTGTCAGGATTGATTTGTAATAGACAGGGTTCCCCAAAAAAGCTTCTGGAAGTAGTGAGAACCATTTTTCCTGGAGAGGTGGAGCAGACAATGGATTATCTTGGAAAAAGAGAGAAAACTATAAGGATATGGGCATAGGAGGAGCTCTATGCACAGTGAGGTTTATGGTTTGAAGAGCAGCAGGATACAGCTGAAGGTGCATTTTGCTTCTGACATCTGTTCTGTTGGGTATCCCTCCTGGTTGTTCTGGATGGGATAACTGCCTTCCCTGCAGCAGACAAAACATAAGCCAGCAAGAGAGAAGAGGTAAGTGTTGTTAAATGTTTCGGAGTTAGGGACAGGGATGAGTTCCTGGTAGGGGACCTGGTTAGTGCAGGCGATGCTCTCAGGTGGATGGACGTGGAGAACTAACCAGTCTGTACAATAATCTCTGCTTTGAGCCATGACAGTCGTTTGTTCAGTTTTCTACCCTCCATCAGCTCTGTCAGCTTGTTTCCTGCCTGCTTATCCATCCCACTGATGATTCCCCAGCTTTTCCTGTTGGTAGGGATTCTACCTGACCCTTTTTTGAACAGCAACGTGTTTTGGGCCACACAAACTCCTCCGTGAAGGTGTGACACATGCAGTTGTTATCACCTGTCCTCAGGGCTCTCTTGCTCTTCCTGGTGGGAATTCAGTTCAGCTGCTGCTATTTTTCCCCTTTGCTCCTCTGGTTTATTTGAGGGAGAGGGCAAGGGAGGCAGCTGGTGATCCTATGTTGAGGCATTTGGGGCTTTAGTCTGGCTGGTGTGATGGCCATGCCTCCCTCGGAGATGCTGCTTTGGCTCAGGCTCATGCTCTTCCCAAGGTTATTTCCCTTGGGACCTGCAAACACAGGCTTTATGTGGCACCAGTTGTATCTGCTTGTAGAATTCCTGCGGCAGCTTCAACTCAGAGGACAAGACCCTTCTAAAAGGAGCTAAAAGGACCTGCCCTGGTCAGCTCCCAGGCCTCAGGTCTGGTGGTTACACCAGATAGAAGCACAGATCAGAATCACACGATCACCTTGCTCTGGTGCCAGAGTCACTGGATCTTTTCTGCACAGAACTTGTCAGCAGTGATGCTGTCACAGAAAGGTGATAGGAAGGGACCAGCTGAGATGGTCCCGTGTGGAATATCACCACAGGGAGAAAACAAGAGCCAGAGCTCCTTATCATAGAATCCCAGGGTGGTTTAGATTGGGAGGGACTTTAAAGCTCATCATGTTCCAAGCGCTGCCATAGGCAGGGACACCTTCCACTAGATCAGGTTGCTCCAAGTCCCATCTGGCCTGGCCTTGAACACTTACTCCAGGCTGAGAGTGAGCAAGGAGGAGGAGTTTGGGTCCTGGTGTTGAGCCCCGCTGCTCTCTGGGCCTGTGCCTGGGTGTTCATACAGGCAGGTACCACTGCTGGGTTCCACCGTGTCGGTGAAGAGGTGCGGTAGCTATGCCCAAAGCTGGGCTTTCAAACTGCACTGAAGATGGTCCCAATGGCTTTTCACCATCTCAGAACCAGCAAGTGTTTGAAGTCTGAGAATCCAGTCTGTGACCAAAGCCCTTGGGTCTCCATGGAGAACTCTCGTGCCCAGTGCTCCCATGTTGCCCTGTGGTAGATCAGGGTGCCATGCACCAAGATACTTGTAGTGTGCTATGAGGTGTTGGAGTTTTTCACTGGAAGATTAGTCCGGGCTTGCTGCTCATTCTGCAGTGCAATTCCAGCTTCTTTTCGTCTTTCTTCAATTCCCCAAATTTTATTTTGGGATGACTTCCAAAAGTAGGAAATGGATCTTACAGGCCAAGGCAATTCTGAGCAGATGTGTCAGTCAGATATGAGATCACAGTGGGCAGCCAAAGCCATGTCAGTGGTACTGTCAGGTTCCCTGCCCAGGCCCTAGGCTCTGGTACTTACTCTGGCTGCCCATCATGTCCAAGAACGACTCTAAATGAATCCAGGTGACCTTGCCAAAGAGAAGAATGACTTACCCAAGTGGCTGGTGCTTTGTTTTCAAGGTTCCTGAGCCCAGTGGGTAGATGGGCTTCAACACTGAGAATTTGGGATGACATAATCCATCAGTGTGGTTTTGGGATTTGTTGTTTTTGTTCAGCACCTTGAAATATCCAGCTTGCAGTGACCTTTACTTGCCAAAATTCCATTTCATTGGTCAGTCTTCTGCTATCGACTGAGTTCTGAAACAATTCAGCTTGTACAGCTGATAATCACCCCTCGTGTCTCCCACACAGATGGGACGCAGCCAATGACTTGGGAAGGGCAGCTCTCGGTGGTGTGTTCTCATGGAGTAGTGGAGGGTGATCTATACCGAGGCCTTTTGCCAGTCCTTATACATCAGCATGGATTCCACAGCTCACTTGTCCCTGTTTTGGGAATTCAAGCTGTGATGGTGCACAGGGACAGTCAAGGCTGCATCACCTTTAGAGCAGTCAGAATCGATGTGCAGTCATGGTGAGGGAGTGCTGTGCAACAGGATCCTTTGGATGATTCTGTTGATAAACCTTTGCTGGAGTTAATGTCATATCTCAAAGTCCACACTGCATGCAGTAGGAACTTGCTTTTCCAGCATAGCCCAAACGTTTTTACAGCCTGGCCCAGGCAAGGCAGCTCCCTTTTATTGCAGCCCCAACAGCCTTGGTTTGGGTGGTGTTGACAGGTGGAGCTGTTTCCAGAGAAATATGAGGATTTCTGTTTTGGGACAGTTCCTTAGGAAGAGAATAAAACTGTTCCTTGCTGGGGGAGTGGGCAGGGCTGGGCTGGCAGCTCTGCCCTAGAACACAGTGAAGGGCAGCAGCACCCCTTTGGGGAGGTGGGGTTGGAGCTGATGGGTCAAACTCAGGAGTGAGGACACGTGAGCACCTGGGCCATATCAGGTAAACCCACTCCTGGGTTTGTGGGACTGCAGGTCTTGTCCTTCCCCAGGTGTGATGTGTGGGGTGCTCGGGATGTGTCCATGGGCCACTAGTGGGGACAAGGCTGTAGGTCCTGTTCAGTGTCTTCATAGTGAGCTTCTGTCTGTACATCGTGACCTCACCTGAGACGTCATGCCACTGTTGTCTTCCCTTCCTCTTCAGCAGCATGGACATCCCGTTTGGGGAAGCTGAGGTTGTTGAGTTTGTCATTCCTCCCTGTCCCTGCAGCTGTGTTCCCCTTGCCCCCCAAACATGTCATCTGCCGAGTCCCTCCTGTTACCTGTCAGTCCATGCCCAGGTCCCTGTCCTTGCTGCAGAAACAAGTAGTGACGTGAAGATGTGGCTGGTCATCTGTTATGGTTTTGCTCAAAGCGTATTTTGTGGTGGGAGGGGGAGAAGGCAAACTGTTATCAGTGGAACTGGCTGTACTGGGACTGCTGGTGCCTCTAAACTCAACTCCTTGGGGCCGAGGGTCTGGCTCAGGGAAGGTACCAGCTCCCTAAACTGCTCGGCTCAGAGGGACTGTGAGAAAGGTCAGGATTGCCCCACCTGCTTTAGGAGTTATTAGAGATCATGTGATTTGTGTGATGCGTGTCCCAGATGTTAACCTTCCGCTCTTTGTTTCCTGTTTTATCTCTCTCCCCTCTCTGCCCCCTGTGCCTTGCAGTTCACTCTCCTTCCTTGTCAAGTTAGAGCAGTTGGATCTCGGTGGCAATGACCTGGAAGTACTGGTAGGTGAGGGCTGGTGGGGAGGGAATGTGGGTGGTTGGTAGGGGCAGACCCTCTGTGCAAGCAGGTGGGCTTTCACCTGAGATGCAAAGAAATAGACCTACAGGTTGTTTGGGAAGATTCTGATTTGCCCAGCATGGCCCAGTTGTTCTTCCCAGATTAATTTTCTCTTCATGTGTCAGCCCTTGTGTCTTGTGCCCTGCTGGCCTCATACACAGCTCGCTCTGCCCTTTCCAAGTTCTGGGGTGGTAATTCTTCCTGTCTGGCTGCCAAGGATCTTTCCGAGGAGCCTCTCTGGTGCTTCCCTTCTCCTCTGTCCTGCACTGCCCCCAGCTGTTTTTCTTCTCATCCAGCTTCCTGCCTTTCTCCTTTCTGATTTGATTTCTGCCCTGTGGAGTGCTGGGCCATTCCATGTTGTCCCTGGCAGTAGGGGCAACCCAGTGTGGGGGTTGTCTCCATGGAGGGCTCAGTGTGTGGAGAGCCAGGGCACAGTCTCAGAATTCATCTTGTCTGGGTATTCAGGGACACCCAGTGACATTCTGTAACTTTGCAGCTGTGGATTAAGCTGTTACTGGATCCTGCTCTTTGTGTTCTGGAATGAGTTTTGGCAGAAAACCATCAAAACTGGGAGGCAAAGGGGTTTGTGCAGCTTTGCTGTGCAGAGGCTGAGCTCACCTGTGAGAACAGGTGTCTGACATGTGAGCCACACTGCAGTGGAGCAGGAACTCCAAACCCAAATGCTGATTTTGGGGTATGAACATATGTCTGCCATGGCTGCTGGTGCTGCTGGGTTGTGTTGAGTTGGCCAGTGGTACCTGAGTGTTTGTTTCCATGTGTGAGAGGAGGCAGACCCATTTCATCTGTAAGGCCAGAGCTTCCAACTCCCTAGAATCATGGAATCATTTAGGTTGGAAAAGAACTCTGAGACCACGGAGCCCAACTGCTCCCTCAGCACTGCCAAGGCCACCACTGCCCCATGTCCCCAAGTGCCACATCCACATGGCTGCTAAACCCCCACAGGGATGGAGACTCCACCTCTGCCCTGGGCAGCCTGTGCCAGGGCTGGACAGCCCTTTCCAGTAGGAATTTCCCCAATATCCAACCTGAACCTCTCCTGGCACGACTTGAGGCTGTTTCCTCTTGTGCTGTCCCTTGTCCCCTAGGAGCAGAGCCCCACCCCAACCGGGCTTCACCCTCCTCTCAGGGAGTTGTGGAGAGCAAGAAGGTCCCCCCTGAGCCTCCTTTTCTCCAGGCTGAGCTGCCCCCAGCTCCCTCAGCCGTTCCCCATCAGACTTGTGCTCCAGATTTAGTTCTTGCCTTGCCCACTGCCAGACAGTCCTTCTGTTGCCTTCCATGTTTCCTGTGGGACCTCCTGCAGCCAGTGGGCTGCCCCAGACATTCCCAGACATCTGTGCTTCTATCTTGTAATAAACCATCCGGTGGATGGTCTTGGGGGTGTGAGAACCAGAACAGTGCCTGGCTTTGCAGAGTGTGGTGTATTTGTGGTGTCCTCAAACAGCTTCTCGCCGTGGAAGGGACTGATGCCATCACTGTCCTGTCTCTTCCAGCCGGACACTCTGGGCGCGCTCCCAAACCTGCGCGAGCTTTGGCTGGACCGGAACCAGCTCTCGGCCCTGCCTCCGGTGAGTGCCATTTGAGGCCCTCGCTCACCCCTCTGCCTCTGCCCCAGCTGCTCCCTGGAGCTGTGGTGTCTCCTCTCTGATCCAGGAGCTGGGCAACCTCCGCCGACTGGTCTGTCTGGATGTGTCGGAGAACAAGCTGGAGCAGCTGCCCAACGAGGTCAGTGGGCTGGTGGCACTGACGGACTTGCTGCTGTCACAGAACCTGCTGGAATGCATTCCGGATGGGATCGGTGAGTGTCACGGGATGGGGACCACTGCAGGACTTCACTGCCTGGACAGTGCTTCTGGGGGAGCTTCAGGCAAGAGTGTGTGTGACAGAGAATTAGGGCTTTGTGGGCACAGGTACAGTCACTGAGAACAGAAGCACTGGGTGATACAAGTGGGCAGAACTCTCCAAGAGAGTTCAGGTACTTCTTCTGCATCAGGCATGGATGAGGCCTGTGAACAGGCCTGGTGGGAGGAAAGGCAGAGCCTGTGTTGTTGGGTTACATGATCTCTGATGGGATCATGGCCAGGTGAGTGTAGAACAGCATCCTTCCCCCTGGCACAGCTCACACCTAACTTGTTGCCCTGGCCAGGTCAGCTGAAGCAGCTCTCCATCCTCAAGGTGGACCAGAACCGGCTGACAGACGTGACAGAGTCAATTGGGGACTGTGAAAATCTGTCAGAGCTCATCTTGACCGAGAACATGCTGACGGTGAGTGCAGGGCAACCACCTGCCCCTCCTGTGCTGTTCAGTGTAGCCACCTGCCAGGGATCCCTTCCCTTCTTCTGCCCTCCGAGCTGGATTCCTGAGTGTGCTCCAGCTGCTTCCATGCAGAGTTTCACTGAGCTCACAAGGTCTTGGGAAGACCCTGGTGGAAGCTGCTTTCTCTCACTGATTTTTTTTTTCTTTCCTCTGAAAAATTCTTTGGGATGGCTGGGGTGCTGGGATTTCCAGTCCCAAAGCCCATCCAGGCTGCACTGGTAAGGGGGTCATGGGATAGTTTGATTGACAATGGCCCTGCTGCAAACTGCCCGTGATTTGACTGGTAAAACACAAGGATTGGGAATGGGCAGATGAACAGGAGGAAGGTCTTGACCAGTGGTGGTCTGAGTGTGGTGTGCTGGGGGGAAGAGTTGGCATGGATCAGTCTGTAAGCCCAAGGGAAAAGCAGTCCCTAAGTTGTCCTGAAGACTGTTATCCCAAATGAGTCTGCTGGGACAGGAGACAGCTTGTTCCCAAACTGTGCCTTTTAGCCTTCCCCAGAGGGCTTTGTGCCTTTTACCTCAATTCTGCTGCTCTTTCCTCTTGCAACCACTGACTTGGCTCCTTCCCAGGCCTTGCCCAAGTCTCTGGGCAAACTGGCCAAGCTGACGAACCTGAACGTGGACCGGAACCGTCTGACGGCGCTGCCGGCGGAGATCGGGGGCTGTGCCAACCTCAACGTGCTGTCCCTGCGGGACAACCGCCTGGCACTGCTGCCCCCTGAGCTGGCCAACACCACCGAGCTCCACGTCCTGGATGTGGCTGGGAACAGGTGAGCAGCAGGAATGTGCATGGGCTAGCAGGGGTGTTCCTGGGCAGGCTGCTGTGAGGGAGGTGCTGGATACATGTGGATCCTGGGATCTGCAGTGTGGAGAAGCCCAGGTTGGCTGCTAGTGGATCAACCTTTGCCTGGGAAGCCCTTCTCTGTGTCACCTGAGCACAGGGTGGAGATAACACAGAAGTGTGAGGGCATTTTGCCACGTGTGAAATAAAGATCAGGGGAAATTCCTGGTGACTGACTTCCTTCCTGCAGATTTTGTGGTCTGTGTCTGTCATCAGTCCCCAGGTGATCGGTGCCAAAGCCTCGTTCATGGTGTGCAGGTACCCGGGAGCTGTTCTGAGTTCTGCAGGTTTAGGCTGCAGTTCTGTTTGCTGGGGCTGGTATTTTTGGGAGCAGTTGGAAGCTGACCAGAGGTGCTGTAGAACGCTCTGTACACTGGATGTGAAAGGATTGTTTTTCTGCCTCCAAACCCCTCATTTCACACTTCTGGTGGGAGTTGTCCTTGGCTAAAGGCTGGTGAGGGTGGGTTACTGGAGCCCAGTCCACAGCCATAGGCAGCACAGATCAGCTGCTCCAGTGGTGCAGGAGTGAGGGATCCATAGCAGCTTGGCTCTGTCTCTCTGTTCAGATGGGGCAGCCTGGAGCTGAGGTGAGTTCTTCCCTGATCAGGTGAGTTTAACAAGCAGTTGTTCTTCTCTTTTGCAGGCTGCAGAACCTGCCCTTTGCTTTGACAAATCTTAACCTGAAAGCCCTGTGGCTGGCAGAAAACCAGTCCCAGCCCATGCTGAAATTCCAAACTGAGGATGATGAAAAGACAGGAGAAAAGGTTCTCACTTGCTACCTTCTCCCTCAGCAGCCCTCTCCCAGCCTGGGTAAGAATCTGTGTCACAAGCACTGGCTGCAGAGCCATGTGCTCCAGAGGGGGCTGAGGCCTTGAACCTTCCTCCCTGCTGGGTTGGACTGTCCCTCACTGTGATTCCTGTAGCAGATCCAGGCTCCTGAACAGCTGGGACACTTTTCCCAGGCAGAGATTGTTAAAACTGAGGAATTGCTTCTCTGCCAGGTGATAAGGAAGCTGCAGCCTTGTCTCTGAGTGTTCTCCTTTGATCTACTGACTGAGCAGTTCATTATCTATTGTCCTATCACCATGATATTGTGTCAATACTACGGATTCCTGCCTTAATCCTACATTTCTCCTTACTCCTTGAGTAAGGAGCACTAGAGCTAGACCGTCAGGTCCTTCTGTAGAGATGTACAGAAGGTGACAGACAGGAGCTGGAGGCCACAGCCTTTGTCCTCAAGGCCTCTGATGCCATGGGCAGATACGGCAGAAGTGCCCTAATGGGATGAGCACTGACTTCCATCCAAGCCTGGAACCCTGCCCCTTCTGAAAGGAGCTCCCACTGTGTTCCCTCTCTCCCCAGAGAACCTTCTGCAGAACAGTGTGGATGAAAGCTGGACAGACACCAACTTAAACAGAGTCAGTGTCATCCAGTTCCTGGACGAACCCAAAGGAGATGATGAGGAGGAGTCTGGAGCTGAGAGACGGGTAAGAAGGTCCTGGAGGCTTGTTGGCTCCCTGTGGAAACACAGGCACAAGCTAAGCTTTCTGACTATGGGGAGCCACTGTGGTGTCCATATTTCACCCTGTGACACTGCTGCGGGCATGTGTGAGATTTTCACAGCCCAAAGGGCATTTGGTGCCCTGAGGAGCCAAGCAGGAGTGAAAGGGAATGAATTCCTTGGGAGCCGTGGTGCAGGATCTCGTTGTGAGGCTGTCCCATCCACGGGAGTGGAGCTGTAACACTGAAGTACCCAGGGAGCACTGGGGATGTCCAGAAATCCCAGTAGAGCACTGTCAGGGCAGGGTTTAACTGACCCCTGTCAGAGCTGCCCAACCAAACCCGGGCCATCCCTCTCCCTCCAAGCACAGAGCCAATGCAGTCTATGCTGTGGGAATCCTGTTAGTAAAGTACTAAATACTGTAGGCAGCCTCAAAACCTGCAGGAGATCGTTGTGCTTTCAGTGCAGATGCAAAGGACAGGATAAAAGTTTGTTTTCAGCAAGTGCTCCGGGGGTTTCAGTCTCCTGCAGGATTTTTTTTTCCTTTTTATCTTGTGGAAAGCCATTTTTGAAATCTGAATCCTGATGAGTGGTGTTTGCAGCTGTCCTGGCAGCATGTGTGTACCACTGGCATTGGGAAGTTTGGGGTTTTTTTGATTGTTTTTAACATTTTTATTAATTTTAGAGTGCTGGTTTTCTTGACTCTTGCTTGGGATGGAACTTGCTAAGCAGCACCAATTCTGGTGCTTTCGGGCTTGGCAGACTCCAGAGGGATTAGGAAGATATCCCAAGAAGATTTCCTACCTGTGTTCTGGAGGGGTTTCAGTGTCAATGATTTTGCATTTACTAAGCCTGAAGCACCATTTAAAACTTCCTGTCTCCATCGTTCCTCCCAGTCCCTCTGTCAGATGGAGAGCAGGATGATGTCCAGAGGCAACTGAGTGTTCCCTGCCTCCGTTCTTTCCCCATCCTTCCCAGCCACAGGCTGTGTGAGGCCTGGAGCAGATCCTGCAGTGGGACACGTTGGTCGTGTCTGGCTGAGGCTCTGGCTCTCTGATAAAGGTGTTAGTTACCTGCAGGGGTTCATTCCTGAGGCCTGGCACGCGCTGCCCAGGCTGGAATCCCTTTCCTGAGGGTTTCCCTTCGGCAGGGCCTGCAACGCCGAGCCACCCCTCACCCCAGCGAGCTGAAGGTGATGAAGAAGGTGATCGAAGTTCGGCGTAACGAGGTGAACGCCGCGAAGGCCGATGCCGACCTCAACTCTCCTAACTCAGAAGTGAGTGCTGGTCACTGGGCGATGGATAACCATAGAAAACATGGAATCATGGAATGGTTTGGGTTGGAAGGGACCTTACAGACCATCCAGTTCTGCCCCTTGCCATGGGGGGCACCTTCCACTAGGAACATGTAGAGAATCTGGGGAATGGAGAGTCAGAAAGGACTGACTTTGGGGAAAGATTGGGAGGGACTGAAAATAGATTGTCTGGATTCCAAGGGTTGGGAATCTGCCTTGTGGTGTCAGGACAGGCCACTTAGATAGAGGAATAGATGGGAATGGTAAGGGGAACTATGTGTGAAGGTGGCACTTCTGTTATAGCACAGGGAGGGAAAGAGAAGGCTCTGATATTCCCAGTAAGGAATGATGGGAATGGAGCACATGGAGAAGGCACCTTGCTGCCCCGGTGGGATACTGAGAATAAATGCCTACACAGGAGGTGGAATGAGGTGGACCCAGGTGTAAGGGAGGAGGCTCAGTAGGGGAAGCCTTGGGCAGCCTGAGGAAAAGCTGGTTCTGTTGGTGCTGGAGCATTCCCACCTCACACCAGTCACACTGCACGGCTCCCTTTGCTGCTCTGGGTTCCATCCTGACCATCCCAACTCTTCTCTCAGGAGAAGAGGCTGAGTGCCACGTCGAACCGCAGTGAGGACTCCCACGTGTCCACCAGCACTGCCTCTGCAGACTGCAGGGCAGAGGAGGGGGACCGGGGCTGGCCCAATGGGCAGGTGCCCAACGTGCGGGAGCTGGAGAAGGAGGCAAAGCCCAGAGCAGAAGAGGAGCATAAGGAAGCTGCTGGCCAGGAGGAGGAAGATGTGGAAGTGGAATACAATGAGGTAGGAGCCTGGGAACTGCAGCAGGGTCATGAGGAAAAGTGGAAGGACGTGGAATTTTCAGAGGAAGTGGGAAATGGACGTACAGGTAAATGGGTATGGGATATGGGCATCACTGGAGGCAGATCCAGGCCATGGAAGGCAGCACAAGCTGAGACTGGGCAGCCTAAGCTGAGACTGAGGCAGCCTGTGGGAGTTGGATCCTTGGGAGACTGGGCTGGACAGTGTGGGAGCCTGACAGGGGATATGGGAAAATGGGAGTGACAGTGACAGGTTTGAGTGTCCTTCATCCCTGGAGCTGACAGAAGCATGTCTGGGGGAAGGAGTTGATATGGAAAAAGGCAAGGATGGTGCAATAGTAACACCTTTCCTGCATGTCCCTGAGCACACGAGCAGTGAAAGTGGCTCTGCCCAGTCTGGGAGGGGGGACACGTGGACAGCAGGTTCTGCACTGCCACACATCAGTTACCTGAGGCTCACGGCCTGTCTGGGGCTTTGCCATCGCAGCCCACTGTACACTTTGCTGAGGACACACTGATACGGAGTGAGGATGAGGATGAAGATGAAGAGCGACCATTCCCAGTGGAGAAGCAGAGGCTTATCCGCAAGGACACGCCCCATTATAAGAAACACTTCAAGATCACTAAACTGCCCAAGCCAGAGGCAGTGGTGGCACTTCTGCAGGGGCTGAACAGCGACGGGGTCCCTAAAGAGGAAGAGGAGTTGGGAGGCTGCAATAACAACACAGAGCCCGAGGAACAGGAGGAAGCATGGGATGAGGATGACAGGAAGAATGGAGCTTTGTCTGCTCAGCCGTCCGTGAAGGTAAGGTCTTGTGGGGAGGGGGAAGGTCAGAGGGGTGCACACCTGCCCTCTCCTCCTTTGACCTGCCAGGCAGGCTGATGTTGCCCCGAAGAAACCACTGGCAAGAGGCTCCAGCACTTGGGGATGTGCTGGGGGTGGGAGAGCTGAAGCTCGTTCTGGGGCTCATAGGGTTGTCCAAGAGCTGTGCCATGTTGCTGTTTCTGACTCCTTCACTGTATCAGGTCCTTGCACCCTCCCTGTTCTGTGTGATGTTCCCTGTGCTGCAGGAACAGTTCTCTGTCCCATCGCTGATGGGTTCTGCTGTTCCTTCCAGCCACCTCCTCGCTTGCTGGTTGTTGCCCCTCGTTCACAGCAGGATGAGCTTTATCTCTGGGTGGATCCAATCTCAGACTGATGTTTGGGCCACTGACACTTGGCTTGCTGCCACAGTGCTTCCAAAGTGTGCAAGGGGAGCCCAGAGCATGCCCTTCCCTGTGCTTCCACCTAAATGGAGCCTGATGGATGCTGTGTTGGGATTTAGGGGAGCTTGTGCTCTGGAGCTTTGTCATGGGGCCTTATTGGTCATACTGGGGCTGATGAGATACGAGGTCCTTGGCTCTGCTCAGCCGTTAGGGACACACAGAGGTTCCTGCTTGAGGAAGTTCGTCACAATGGAATAGGAGTACACGGATGAGGGACACTGCATGAGGCTGGAGCAGTTCTCCCCGAAGCTGGTGTGAGGTGTATTTGGCAGGCAGGGATTAGGATATGACTGGGTCTCCATCTCAGTCTGACACCAGCAAATCTCACAGGTGGGATGTGGGTCTCCAGACATAGAAGCTGCTGGAGTAAAACCTGTTCCTGCTGTAACTGCACATGCTCCAGACTGCCAGGATCATTCCCACCCCCAGTGGAGCTCAGATTGCCCAGGGGAAAGTCCTTGCCCTCGCTTTGCTTTGGAGCCTTTTCCTCCGTGGGTGTTTGCCCTGCTCTGCCTGAGCTGATGCAGCTCATCCTGTGCTCCCTAGGGATGAGACATACAGTCTCCCTGTTGTTGGTGAAGTTCCTCAGAAGGAAAAGGAGTTGCTGCTGCTTGTAGGAATGTATGAAGCTGTCCTGAGTCCCTTCATCCAAGATCTGCTGTGCTTGGAAAACCCAGAAAGGTTTTTTAGCCAGGGACTTGGAGCTGAGGAGGCACTGAAACTCTGGCAGAGCCCACGAGGCCTGTCCAGGTGTGGTGTATCTGTCAGAAATTACCTTGGTTATGGGCTAAGCCTTCTGCCTGGGAATCAGTTTCCTTTCTGTGGGGCTGGGTTGGATGCCTGGTCCATGAAGGCATTTATTAGCTGCCACCTGAGCTGCATTCCAAGAGTGGGGAGCAGCATCCCTGTGCAGGGGAGGCTCAGGTAGGAGGTGATATGTGCATTGAAGGAGGCAGGACAGGCTGTGCAGGAGGCTGAATCCTTAAACCAGAGGGTTTTGTTGCCAAGACAATTGGTTTTCAGAAGAAATCCTAAGGTTTCCTGCACTTGGGAGCAGGATCCTGGGTGTCTGACAGGATGCACTGTTTCACCAGAGAAAGGCACCGGTGCAGTTGGGTTTGGGATTGCTTTTTGCTGTGCAGCAGCTGGTGGCACCACAGGCTCCTTGGTGCTTTCTCCTGTGTTTAACTCTTCCTCCTCCCTGGAATAACCTGGTACAGAGGCAGGGTGAGGTCAGCTGATGGTGGTCAGCTCAGGGGTCATGGCCTTGGGGTGCCAGCACAGACAGAACCTGGCCTTAGGGGGTGCCCCTGGGCACGAACATGCTGGCAGTCAGCATGCTGGGAGCCCAGGAACAGCCCCGGCACCGCTGAGGTGGTGGGCAGGAGTGGGGGCTGCTCAGGTGCTGTGGAGGTCAGGAGTGACTCTGTGAGTGGGCTCAGCTCTGGAGCTGTGGAGGTCAGGAGTGACTCTGGAGCTGTGGAGGTCAGGAGTGACTCTGTGAGTGGGCTCAGCTCTGGAGCTGTGGAGGTCAGGAGTGACTCTGGAGCTGGCCCAACTCTGGAGCTGTGGAGGTCAGGAGTGACTCTGTGAGTGGGCTCAGCTCCAGAGCTTTGGAGGTCAGGAGTGACTCTGGAACTGGCCCAGCTCCAGAGCTGTGGAGGTCAGGAGTGACTCTGAGTGGGGTCAGCTCTGGAGCTGTGGAGGTCAGGAGTGACTCTGGAGCTGGCCCAGCTCCGGAGCTGTGGAGGTCAGGAGTGACTCTGGAGCTGGCCCAGCTCTGGAGGTCAGGAGTGACTCTGGAGCTGGCCCAGCTCCGCGCAGCGTGCCCAGGCTGCCGGCGTGGCGTGCGTGTGTTGGGTGGTGGTGGTGGTCGTGGTGGCGGGTTTGGTCGATGCTCCACTAATCCGCATGCCTCTTTGCTGGTTCCTGTCCTAACAGGGGGTGTCGTTTGATCAAGCCAATAATCTGCTGATTGAACCTGCTCGCATTGAGGAGGAAGAGGTCTGTACCACTCCTACTGTTCTCTCTCTGCCAAAAATCATCCAGTCTGCTTGATTTGCTTCCCAGCCTCACCCATTGTTGTAGGGGGAACTCTGATCTCTCTGGGTCAAGTGGCTTCTGGACCTGGCTGATCACAAACATGATGATCGTTTCCTCCCTGCTTTCCCCTTTTCCTCCTTTCCCATCCCTGAGGTGAGAGTGGCTGCTGCAGAGCAGGAGTGAAGTGGATGTAAAAAACCAAAGGGGCTGAGGGGGAAGTTCCTATTTGCTGTGTGCTGAGGGAGAAGTGAATTACATAAATGGATATTTCTGGAAGTGTAGGTAACCCTGGAGGAGCAGAGGCCTCAGGAATCAGCCCAGTGCTGTGTGTGACCCTTAGGGATAGGGAGGAGGATCTCACTCATGACACTGTGCCACTGCCTGAGGAAGGTGGACTGGAGACAATGATTTGTGTATCTCTTGCAGCACCTCCAGAACCCCCTCAAGGCTTCACATGCAGCACCTTGGGGTGTCAGAAAGGGGCAGGTGGCACCAAGGTGCCACAAAGTCCCTGGCACGGGGATGGTGTCCGTGCCAAGGGTTAAAGTCTTGTGTCTGGCTGCCTTGGCTTATCCCCTGACTGTGATCAACTTTGGGTTTGTCTGCAGGTTTTCAGTGCCTGCTCTGCGGGGTCAGTGGCTTTCTGCAGGCAGGTTTTCAAGGAGCTGCTGGAAGCAGAGTGCTGCTGTCACTGGCAAGAGGCAGAACCTGTGTTGGTGCCACCGGCTCGCACAGAGGTTTCTCCCGTAGGACAGTGCAGGGGCACCAGACCTGTGTGTTACCTGAGTGTGTTACCTGGGACTGCTGGCCTGGGCCTCTACAAGAACTTGGTTCTGCTGCTTCCTCAGGTGTAAAATGGAGACTTTCCTTGGGTTTGGATAAGGCTTTCTGGGAGGGAGATGATGAATCTTTTCCACTCAGGCAGAACATGAGTTGGCTCAGGTGTGGTCCCCTGTTAGTGGGTCTTGAAGATTTCTCCATCTTTCTCCATCTCTAGGTCCTTGAAAACCACAGTAACATTCCTTGCATTTCTCTTTTGTGTAATCTCTGTCACTCAGGTTAAAACTGAGCATAAGCCTGTGCTTCCTGATCCCTCCTCCCCCTTCCTTTGGGGAGTCACTGCTGCCAGTCCTTCTCTCCAGCTGTTGGATGCCCTGTTCCATTTGCAGAGTTTTCCTGCTCCTTGGGGTGCTGTGTCCTAGGAACCTTAGTCTTGTCTCGGACACAGTCTGCCCACCTCTTCCTTGGCTCCTGCTCCACCTGCATCTGATGGAAGGACCTAGAACTCCTTCCCTGGAGGTGTTGGGTGAAACAACTGGATGTGGCACTCAGTGCTTTGGTCTAGTTGACAAGATGGTGATCAGTCACAGGTTGGACTCAATGATCTTGGAAGTTTTTTCCAACCTAAATGATTCTGTGATCCCTCAGTGGGGCTGGTTGGAGGCCCCAGATTTGCTCTGGTGTCCCCTCAGCACAGCCCCCTTTGTGTGGATCTGTTCCCTCTCTGTGAAGAGGAACGTGGTTGTGCAGCTCCCAAGGACCAGCATGCTGGAGAACCCCCAGACTGATGGTGGTAGCTGAAGTCACCCCAGAGTAGACCAGCTTTGGGAGGTTGATTTGGGACACTTGATTGTCCTACAGCTTTGGGGAGTGCTTAGCAGGGAATCTTTCACTAGACCAAGCTGCTCCAAGCTCCATCCAGCCTGGCCTTGAACACTTCCAAATCACATCTGCCTCATGTGTTCAGGGATGATTCCATGTCCTTGAGAAGAACCAATGGGCTGCTGGAAACTGAGCAAGGCCACTGCAGAGCAGAGGGCCTGGTGCCCTTGAGCAGCACGGTTTAAGTCCATGATGCTGCTGTCACATTCCTTGTATAATTTAATGCAGCTCTTAGAGAGAAGGAACTACAGGCTGTGTGTTCCTTAAGCCTAAACCATAATCCTGTGCCAGAGACTGATCTTGCCAGGGCAGAACTGGAGACATGTGCCCAGCTTCTGCCAGCACTCAGCACTGGGGTGTGGGAGCCTGGTGCTGGTGTGCTGCAGGGATGCCCAGAGCTCCTGTAGCTGTTGGTGCCAGTGGGGTTCTGCTGCAGTGGAAGAGGAATTTTGTTCGAATGTGTGATATCTGATGGTGGATATCTGGATTCCAGTGCTGGCTCTGTTCCCAGTGTTTTGTCTCCATCCCCATCTGCCCCACAGAAGTGACTGTAGTGGGATGTAGGGAGGCTTTGGGAGGAGAAAAGCAGCATGTGGAGCGGCTGTTGATGGTGTGAGGTTGGACCTGAACTGTTGTCTGGGGAACATTGACAGGATTTTGTCTTCCCCTCCACCCTGGGCTGCCTGGGCAGGGGGAGCTGTCAGTTCCCTCCCTGGGAAGGAGTGAAGGTGGTCAGAGCTCTTGGACGTTGATTTCTTTGCTGCTACTGCTCAGGTGTCACATCCTGTCGGTCCACAGTCAGGAGTGAGTCAAATCTTCTCCTTGAAGGAGTCTCATCCTGTGGAAACTGCTCGGGAATGTTACCATTTGTGTTGGAATGCCAGCCTCAGGCCTGGCACCAGTTAGTGTTTGCCAGTGGCAGATGTGACAGCACAGCCTGGTCCTGGAGCATCCCATGCTCGGCAGTTCAGCTGTGGAAAGGCTGGCACACGTAGTGTGGAGTGTTGGAATGTGTCAGGAGCAGTCCTGTCCCTCCTGGAGCATCCCGTGCTCGGCAGTTCAGCTGTGGAAAGGCTGGCACACGTAGTTGGGATGTGTCAGGAGCAGTCCTGTCCCTCCTGGAGCATCCTGTGCTCGGCAGTTCAGCTGTGGAAAGGGTGGCCCCTCGTTGTGCATTGCTGGGATGCATCAGGAGCCATCCTGTCCCTCCCCGTGGGCTGCTCGGTGCTGCTGCACATGTGGAGCTCTGCCCCTCGCTCTGGTTTTGTGTTTACAGGGTGACCATGGGCTTCATCGGGGTGTTGTCAGGCTCGGAATTATTTTGTAGCAAATTTGATTTTCCCACAATGCGACCCATAAATTTCAAGCCCAGAAAAGATTAGTAAACTTCTCGTGTAATGCAGGAGAGGTCACGTCACCTGTGTTTGCTCACCTGGCTTGACTGGAGTATGATAGAGCAGAGTCCTTTTGACATTTGAAAAAGACACAACACTCACGTTTCTACCAATTTTTAAAATGACCAAAGTTCCCATTGACTAAGAAAAAATGTGCCATATTTTCTGTTTTAATTAGTCTGGCTTTTAATTTCTTGCCATTGGAATGTTTTTGCCTACTGAAGTGCTAAAGGGCCTTTTGTGTTCTCTATGGAATCATAGAATGGTTTGGATTGGAAGGGACCTTTTAAAGGTCACCCAGTCCCACCCCCTGCCATGGGCAGGGACACCTTCCCCTAGACCAGGTTGCTCCAAGCCCTGTTCAACCTGTCCTTGAGCACTTCCAGGGATGGGGCAGTCACAGCTTCTCTGGGACAGTGTTCTGACACCTTCCTTGCTCTGTGACCCTCTGGTTTGGAGGTGGGATCGTTATCTCTTCCTGTGAAAGTACAGTTTCAAGTTTGGCCATGATAAGGCACAGTTTGTACACAAGTGCCCCTCAAAATGATAGAGGTTAATGACTTGTATGATTGCTGCTTGTTCATCATCAGTCACTGTCTCAGCTGTGAATTCTGTCTGATCCAGAGCTTCCCTAAGGACCAAGGAGCAAACCTGTGGAATGATTTCTTGTACAAATGCAGAACTACCTGCAGAGTTTCCTTTCCCTGCTCCAAGAGTGGGCCAGAGTCACCTGGTTCTGCTCTGTCACACAATAATCTTGTTGGCTTTCGCAGAGAGAAGGAGCAGAAAGCAGCAGAGGAGTGATTGGCAGAGAGAAAATTCCGTGTTCAAACAAAACACTCCACGGGGAATCTGATTATCCCTTCTGAACTAGACAAATGACCAGTATAACAGACATGGGGCTTTGCTGCCTGGAACCAGGATTATGTACAAAATTCAGACATTAAAATAGCCACTGTAGAAGTTGCCAGGGCTGAAGCACTTATGTGCCTTAAAATGGTCCCCGTTTGCAGCCGTGTGTTCAGAACATGTCAGTGGAGGAGAAGGGTAACTCCCAGACAGTTCCGAGACTTTGTGGTGGAAAACAATCCCCAGCTTGGATCCAGGCACTAGATAGAATGAGGCCTGACTGGGATAGGTTGGCATTTCTGGAAGATACAATTTAGCCAAAAAAGGGCTGTGCTCAACTGGGAGCAGCAAGGCTGAATTCTCAATGAACGTAACACAGAGGATTTGGAAGAAGTCTTGAGGTCAAGTCTTCTGCCACCACTGGCAATCAGACACTGTATACAAACTGTTTCATAAGTCAGTCAAACTTTTTATGAAGTACAGATTGTTTCCTCCTGTTACAAGACGTGCACACACACACACACAGGTTTCTCCTCTGGGGAGAAACCCAAACCTTTCCAGATTTTTGCTTCTGGAATAATTAGAAAACTTACTTTCAGTTGGAACTGTCATTTGTTAGTTCATTGTTTTCATTGTATTTTTTCTTGTCCAGTCTCTTCCCTGCTGGCTGACCCATTGCTTGTCCTCAGTGTAATTTTATGGACGTCAGCCTGACTCCTTCCAGCCTTCCTTTTGCTGGATTTAGAGGAACCCAGTTCTGGTATTCTTTGGTAAGAAGGGTTTCCATTCCCTGCCTTTCTGGCTGCCTTTTCTTTCACCTGATCTACTTGAACTCAGGTTTGGTGACTATGGACAACATGACAGAGTTTATTCAGACTTTAGTTCACTAAATTCCATAGTTGTTTCTCCATTTCAAATGTGGCAGTTCCCATTCCTGGATGGGAGTTGTCTTTATCCACCTTTATTTGTGCCTTTGTTTTAGCCTTAGCCTTTGTTCCTGCGCCCCTCAGGGTCCTTGGGGAGGTTTGGCCTCCAGACAAGGTGTACTTAAGAGAT